TCCTCTTGCTTCTTCAGAAGTGAGTGTCCCCTATTTCACCATCCTCCACCGTCTTTGGATACTCAGCCTCTGTCAAGAGTGATGGTCAGGGGCAACCGATCGGACAATTTATTCAATTAAAGCATCCTACTGACACGCGAGTGACATGCTGGAAATGGCACCTCACCTAGCGTGTAATATACACGTCGCGGCTCTGACAGGGTATGATCAACACACTGTCACTGCACATCACAATCTAGGATTCTTGACAACCTGTATACTGGATACTTTGAATTATATTTAGACTGCGTTTCCTTTTTCCATGGAATATACGTGCAGGCAGTGAATGGTGATTGAATTAGAAAAAAGACTTTGGTAACAAGTTGCACAGTAGTACTTAACACTTTAAGTAATCAATGTGGAATTAAAAGAGATATAATGTGTTTAATGTGTCCCAACTGGGTGGATTCGCTTATCCTAGGTTAAAGACCATGATTATGCTGTTATGATCCTTGTTTTGAAAATTGACATACCTTTGCATGTGTTTGTGACGGATGCCACCTTTTCACGAACACATGCTATCATCACTAACTGATAGTTCTTCATAAACACATGCTTATGATATATTCTGAATCATACACTGGACTCGTTTTGGAGAGATGTCTTATGATTATGAAAATGTTTTTTTATGCTTTTTGTTGTCAACACCTTACCTGGTTTCCCCAATGCGCTATATACGGTTACGATTTTGGACCTGCCTTGACATATGTGACCGAAATACTGTGAAAAGCATCGTTAATGTTACATGACTCACGTTGAACACGGACTTTATCAACAGACCTTTCTCAGATTTATTGCACTAATCCCACGCTGACTTACATAATGTATGCTACCACATACAATTATATGTCACGTAATCTATTACATCCTTAAATGACACTTCACATACTTTCCCTGGTTCTTTTGGACCCCTGAAGATTCCGGGTTAAAATAGGTCTTCAGCAGCCCATGCTTGGCGTAAAAGGTGACTATGCTTGTCGTAAAAGGCGACTAACGGGATCGGGTGGTCAGGCTCGCTGACTTAGTTGATGCATGTCATCGATCCCAATTGCGTGGATCGATGCTCATGATGTCAATCGCTGGATTGTCTGGTCCAGACTCGATTATTTACAGACCGCCGTCATATAGCTTGAATATTGCTGAATGCGGCGTTAAACAACAAACCAACCCTGGTTCTTTCATTGGAGGTTCTCGTCTCACTCCCATAAAGACACCGACCCGTGTAAAACGGATTAGAATAGGTCTTTAGCAACCCATGCTTGTCATAAAAGGCGACTATCCTTGTCGAAGGAGACGACGAACGTCATCCAGTGGTCACCCCCGCTGACTTCTTTGATGCATGTCATCGTTTCCCATTTGCGTAGATCGATGTTCACTGGATTGTATGGTCCAGACTCGATTATTTACAGATTGCCATCTTATAGCTGGAATATTACTGAGTGCGGCGTTAAACAACGAACGAACAAACAAACAAACAAACAATCAAAAAGAAACCGCTTACGAGCATGCATAAACACTCCAATCCCTGTAGATGTCCAAAGAATTTAAGGAATTATTATAACCTCTCTTGTGCTCAAGTTGTAAACACGGGGTGTTTATTACGATACTTTTCATTTAAAACATTAGATATTTTGGAATTATTGACGAAATTAAGGAATCACGCCAATACGTAAGAATTCTTCAGTTTTCAGGGAATCATGATTTTGTACGTTAGGGTAAAATCCTGTCTCCATTGGGTTTCGATTTTTTTTAATTCGAACCAGATCGCGACAATTTCATCAAACATTTGTTAAATAGATGTGAACATTGGTTAAGCGCAACGTATTGGCATTAGAGTTTGACAAATGAATTGGAATGCAGCCAGCATTTGAAGTTAGGTAATTGAATATTTCTCGCTCAAACGAATAACTGGGGGCAAGATTCCGCTTTGAGAACTATGCACTGAAATTAATTATCGAAGAAACCTACACACTATAGGTTCTAGTATGCGAGGAGGACGAGGTCACAGTTGACTCAGATGATCTTATCGATCTGTTACTCTTGATGACTGGGGAGGACAGCAGCCTATGGAAGCCTGGCCGAGACAGATTAAACTGTTGAAAACTATGGGGACGTGTGACGATATCGAAGGCAGGAGAAATCTTTCCGGAAGGTCATGACTTCATTTTCGCAAAACCTTCGTGAAATCTATGTCTTGACCATGCGATTATTATATCACGTCTATACCAGTCTTGGGACTTGCGGACCATACACCACCCTGGCATTTCTTTCAGAAATACGAAACTCAAGCTCTTTCGCATTAATTGAAATAGTTCTGGTTCTGTTTTTTGACATCAGAAATAGGGACATCTGAAAAGGACACCACGAGGGAAAATGAAACCGGCCCTTCTGCAAGACGAGCGTTCACTTTAACCACACTGGACCCTGAGAGATGTCACACCTTGTCAGTTGGTTGGTGAGCTCTATCAGTTAATGGCCTTGGTTCTTGTCCCATTACGGCTCTCCTTGCAAAGTCTATGCCCAGTTGCTGTCACCGGTTGTAGTTTTGTACTGAAGCAAGGTGCAATGGAGCAAGATAGTTGCATGAGTGAGTGAGTGAGTTGGATTTAACGCCGCTTTTAATAGTATTCCAGTTATATTACCTCGTGTCAGTTTAATGTGGGAGGAAAGCCTGAAGCGATGCACTTCGGTGGAACCCACGAGCACGGGCATGGTGCTGACAAATCTAGAAACATAATCGGGACGAACGGGAATTCGAACCCACAATCATAGGTTTCTGGCGTGCCCACGGGATGCAACACGGCACAGCGAATCACGGCGCCTTAGACGGCTGGGCCATCCGTGCCCCTAGTGGCATGAGAACACTGATATTGTGGGTTCGTTTTCTCACATGATTTCTCACAATTTATAAATCCCAAATAATTGTGTCTGGACCAGGCAATCCAGTGATTGACATCATGAGCATCGATCCACGCATTTTGGATACGATGACATGCATCAACCAAGTCAGCGAGCAAGCATAGTCGCCTTTTACGGCAAGCATGGGTTGCTGAAGGCCTATTCTACCCCGGATCTTCAAATAGTAGTAGTAGTAGTAGTAGTAGTAGTAGTAGTAGAAGTAGTAGTTACAGATTAAAATATACATGCATCAGATAGGGTGGGGTATTCTACCCCGGATCTCAAATAGTAGTAGTAGTAGTAGTAGAAGTAGTAGTAGTAGTAGTTACAGATTAAAATATACATGCATCAGATAGGGTGGGGTATTCTACCCCGGATCTCAAATAGTAGTAGTAGTAGTAGTAGAAGTAGAAGTAGTAGTTACAGATTAAAATATACATGCATCAGATAGGGTGGGGTATTCTACCCCGGATCTCAAATAGTAGTAGTTGTAGTAGTAGTAGTAGAAGTAGTAGTAGTAGTTACAGATTAAAATATACATGCATCAGATAGGGTGGGGTATTCTACCCCGGATCTCAAATAGTAGTAGTAGTAGTAGTAGAAGTAGTAGTAGTAGTTACAGATTAAAATATACATGCATCAGATAGGGTGGGGTATTCTACCCCGGATCTCAAATAGTAGTAGTTGTAGTAGTAGTAGTAGAAGTAGTAGTAGTAGTTACAGATTAAAATATACATGCATCAGATAGGGTGGGGTATTCTACCCCGGATTTCAAATAGTAGTAGTTGTAGTAGTAGTAGTAGAAGTAGTAGTAGTAGTTACAGATTAAAATATACATGCATCAGATAGGGTGGGGTATTCTACCCCGGATCTCAAATAGTAGTTGTAGTAGTAGTAGAAGTAGTAGTAGTAGTTACAGATTAAAATATACATGCATCAGATAGGGTGGGGTATTCTACCCCGGATCTCAAATAGTAGTAGTTGTAGTAGTAGAAGTAGAAGTAGTAGTAGTAGTTACAGATTAAAATATACATGCATCAGATAGGGTGGGGTATTCTACCCCGGATCTCAAATAGTAGTAGTAGTAGTAGTAGTAGAAGTAGTAGTAGTAGTAGTAGTTACAGATTAAAATATACATGCATCAGATAGGGTGGGGTATTCTACCCCGGATCTCAAATAGTAGTAGTTGTAGTAGTAGTAGTAGAAGTAGTAGTAGTAGTTACAGATTAAAATATACATGCATCAGATAGGGTGAGGGTGGTCCTGACACCTGATCCTGATTGCACGACTCCGCCTTTATCATGAGCCTGATTCACAATCAAATATATTGCATGAGAAATGCGTCACAATTAGTAAGGCCCTCTACATGTCAACCACAAACCTTTTACAACCTGTTATGTGGCCTTGCATCTTGGTAGAAAGAGCATGCTCGAGTGTTCCTCAAATCCTTTTATTGATATTAGAATCCACATGGAATTAATTCCTATTGTCTTAAATGCTCTTTGTGAATACAAAGAAAGCCCTCCCATGATTGTATTAAGGACAATTGCTAATCTCTGAGACGGGGATTTGGTGGTATAATGCTGGACCTTTAGCATCAACAATGTTACGAGCAGTACACTAAAAGAAATAATCACCAAAACGCCGAAACTATTGATGAGAACGTTTACCATATGATGTAATTTATGTAACACCCCCAATCATCTAATGCTTTAAATGTTACACCGACAACATCAGTATGCCATTATACGACCATTACCAATTGAATCCCACTCTCTGATGAACCAAATTCATAAATATTTATGACTGGATTGAAAAATCGTTTAAGAACAACTAAAGCACGCAGAAAAGATCCATGATATGTGTGAATTTTATTTTTTGTTAAACACATACTTAAATGACATACGTGCTGAATCAATGTGAAAAATATACGATATAATGAGAAAGAACATAACACGTTTTTTTATCATCTCATAGAAATATTGAACGTGTGGGTGTTGCAGCTGACGGCTTTAGGTGTGGCCCCAGTGGATCTCCATACATGAACAAATCGTATGCTGGGATGGTGGTGGGTTCCACTTTATAACGGGAACACAAGCACGATCGAGAAATCGGTTTGAGATTTCGACCCCGACTCCCTCTGGTGTCGCAGAGAGATTAGCACAAACTTTAGCCACGGCACATTGACTGCTTTCGGGGGGAGAGGTAGGTCCGCTTCTTTGTTGTCTGTAGACGGTAGTGTGCATTGACATGTATGTAATTGTTCATCCCTTGATCAGTTGTCAGTTTATGTTCTGATAACTCGTGGGGATGTATTAAAACAAACATTCTCTCACGTTAAACAATGAGTGGTGAGTCTGCCGAAAAGTTCCGGATTTTCTTTATTGATATTATAGAAAATCACTTATTTGTCTTTTTTTATAAATTGGTGAAAAAGCATACTCCACAAATTTTGAACATTTTAATTGCAAACATCTTCACATAAAAGAAATATAGTTAAACTTGTTAAATAGCAGCAGGAAATATGGCGACTACCAGGTCGCCTTTGACCAAATGAATGTCACTTTTTACCAGTTTATTGAACAACAGTTCTTGTTCGGAATTACGTATGCATTACGTATGCATGAATTACATGTGCACTCGATCTGATGTCTGTTGGAACATCTGTTTGTTAATGTAACGAATGAAATTACTTGTGCATTCAGCTCTTTTTATAAGCTGGCCATTTGGCTGTATGTAGAATGTGACGTTTCGGTGTTGAAACATTCCTTGCTTGATAACGGTGTTAATTTTTCCACCGACACGTCGCATTTATTGAAATAAAAAAGATTTATATCCATAGAACTATTCCCCATGTTCATCCTCCCTATGTACTATGACATATAAAGAAGGTCATCATTTTGATGTCATTCCTTGAATGCACTTGGAAAGTTCTTAAGTGAACGTCACTGTTTATTTGTTTCCTCAAATGCAGTGATGTTTGTATGCAATATTCCTTTATCATTTACTTTCAGTTCATATATAAAACTGTTTTTTATGAATACGCAGTGTTCCAAAGGCTGTGGTTGCTGTTCAATATGTTGCAGTATTTGTGTATTATCAAGTGTATTATAAACTACACTTTGGGATTTGTATCAAACCAGTGTGTCAAATATTATAAATGCCATCAGCTGCTGTACCACTGTACCATTGAGGGTACTACTAATCATGATGGTACTAATTTTGCACAATGGGTACCACTGTATATTATATATGATGTTTTGGCACTTTCGTATCCAAACGGTCACAATATCAAGAATTAGCCTGGGGGAATTAGCTCGGGATCGGGCACCACCTCCAAAGAAACCAAACAAAGTGTCTATGGCCAGCTCCTATATTGGGGATTTCTTGACAGTCAATTCACATCTAAAATAAGAAATATTTTTACATATAAAGTACAAAGTGATGAAGAGCATTTACAGTTTTCACAAAAGAAGCAGTTATCACAATAGTGTGTGATATTAAACAATGATTATACATAAGAGTGTAAGTTTCATGATAAGCAAACGTGCCGTGAGCTTAGTGATAAAACAACCAGTTACAAATAACAATATTAAAGTCAGTCTACAAAGAAACCTATGAACAAAGCTTACATAATCTCATGTGACTCTTATTTTCAGCCACTCCTAATTATGATTACGCCTTGCTAAATGGCACTGCCATATGGTATATCTTATTTACGTTTTAACATAGTTAAACCAAAAATCGGTATCAAATGTACGCAGATTTCAACATAAATAACAACGTGTGTTGGCTGTAACTCTGAGCATATATCATTCATTTGTTATGCCGGTATATGTTATACTTAAAGGACATATCTATCATTTATCTAAACTACCGCAACAAACAAAATACATCCGATAGCATCCACATACACCGAGTTAACGGTGTCGTGCCGGGTTAGCGAAAATCCAATTTTCCCTAGTATCAGTAAAGCGAAAACCCAAGTTGGGGTAGTTGTCCTACGAAAGCGAAAAATGAGTAATTGCTATAAAAACACCGGATTACCGTAGTTTAGATTAGCGCCCGTGCTGTTCAAACAGAGGAGAGGAGAGGAGATTTACTAGAGAGTCGTTTCGTAAAAAAATAATACAGTTGGATGTTTAAACACAGAAGAGATGATCAGTATCTTAATTGAATAAACAAATAGTTTCTTGGTTGATATGGGTTATGATACCGATGGGTTTAGAGGAGAGTCGTTTCTTAAGAATACATACAGTATGTATTTGATGGTATATATAAAGAGTGCAACTTATTTATCTATGTGGTGTCACATATACACGGACGGATCTTCAGATCCGACCTCCAAACACACAGGTTTCGGAGTCCATACCACACAACCAACTAAAACCACACAATCCTTCCGACTCCCAAACAACCCCTAAAGCCCCCTCTTGGGTTGCACACACCACTTTCGCCCCCTTCGGAAACACGTTAAATGGCCTGGCCGGGCCCGTGTGCGAAATACGCATCAGTCGGAAAGCGCACGTTAAATCTCCAAAGTAAGTAGGTAAGTAAGTTATCTATGTCCAAAATGGCTAAAGCACAAGTTCGAGTCACCATGGTTGATACCGTGCGAGGTGGTCAGCTCTTGTTAATGCTCTGAAAGACAATCTCGTCAACAACGTCATCGGCGACGTTGAGTACACAGATCACGTTGGTGACCTGATCCACTTGGAGTGAATGACTTGAACACAACTTGTATGCCAGTGCAACCTCAAATTTATTATAGAATGTATTTCTGTATTTACCATTATATTTTAAGATATAGTTATTGTTTTTGTAGAAATTATAATGTACATCTATGAAATATTAAAGTATTAGAGTTATTAAATTTGTTAAATGTAAAGTACTTTTGTGCAACTATACTATACTTCAGCATCTAATAAATTACTACTGTAATTACGGTATACGCATTTCTGTGTTTTTCTTGTAATTTGAGAGTCCCGGTACAGCAATACCCCGTGTTTACTGTAGCGTGACCAGTCTTACTGTAGCTTCACGAAAGCGAAAAGATTTTAGAGTTCAGAACCGAGTTAACGGGCCCATTAACAAATGTCCATTCACATTACTGAATGGGTTCATTCTCAGGACGACGACCCCCTGTGTCGTATGAAAACAAACTAGCAAAAAGTGAGGTCGTCGTCCTGCGATATTTTTTATCCGCAAATATAGTTGAACAATGGGTATCGAGTGTTATTTTAACAACTCGAGCAAGTAAAAAAGTGGAAATGGATTTGAAACGAACGAATGGAAGACAGTAAGGATGGAATATTGATTTATTTACAAATAATTAGAATGTATACTGGGGTAGAATGTACAAGATGACGTAAAAGTCATGGGCAATTAAGACAGTTTGAGAAGATGAGACACTGAGTCAGCAAAGAAAATTACGCTGACTTCATTCTGGATCAGTCTGGTCTTCAGTTGATCGATTCTGCCTTGTATATCACAGAACTTCTTCTTTTTTGGTGGGAGACGCTGGCCGGCCTGGTACTGTAGCAGATTACACTCTGTCTTCTGCTGTTCAGCTCCTAGAAATCTTATCAGCTCAAAGATGTTGGGGTGGGCTTTGCCGATGACTTTCTTTAAGCGTCCATGCCATCCCTCCAGGTGGTTATTGGTGCGAGGGCTGTCGTTGTTGAAATGGTTCCAAGGCTCCTGCTCTGTCTCAACCCATCTTGTTGGCGACGAAGGCGTGGAGGGTGTAGAGCTGGTAGAAGAGACGTGGAGTCGCGTAAAAGGTTCCATCTCCGCAGATGGTGTCGGCTGCACACAGAGATCCAGTCATTCCTCTTCCTTTTTCCAACTCGGTAGGTGTAGCCACCAGTACAAAGGTATCTACTGCCGCGTGCAGTTGGAAGAAACGTGTACTGTACCTGCGCGTTTGCCATATCGAGAATGATGACAGACTACCTTACTTACTTACTTACTTACTTACTTACTTTGGAGATTTAACGTGCGACAGACTACCATTTTTCGGAGATTTATAACAGAGTAACTGTTGAGTCAATCAGTTGAGTAAATGGTACTCACTAGATTATCAAAATCGGAGTTCACCAATTCAGTGAACTCATTTCAGTTTTTGACACTAAAATATAACCAAGGAGTTAATCCCCTCCTAAAACACCACCACACATCAAAAGCGTACCGGTGGTCGTCGTCCTGCGAATGGAAAAATTCGAGGGGTCGTCGTCCTGAGAATACCCAACTGAATGGTATAATATATGGATATATGTACATTTTAGGCATTGCTCGTAATGTTGACATGTTTGCTGAAGCTGTGTTACAAATGCATTATGCTCAGACCTAAATAAGTACAAGAGAGTTACCTATCTTGTTTGGACATCGCTAACAGATTAACTAAATGATTACATGAATATTATTACTGATTTTAGCTCTGCCTTAGTTGTGCTATTAGCATAAATATGTTGGATGTAAATACATCCTATATTAGCTATAGACATTAACGCTTTCTGGCACACTAGTTCCATCAAATAACTCTTATAAACAATGATTTAAAGCTCTCTGGATTATGTTTATTAACAAGTAATACATGCAATGTATGGTTCATCATAATATCCTTAGATTAAAAGATAATGTACATACCTCATGTGATATAAAAAGTGTGATGAAAGTGAGGGAGTTCGTCTACATTTACAAAAAAATTCACATATACAAAATAACTCAATCACACTAAAATATCAACTCGCAGATAAAAATACACAGCCTGCTACAACGACACCCGATTGTTAACACCTTATTTCCGACTCGGAACATGTTTGATATTCAATATATGTTATACCGTGGAGTTAATACTTAAACGATAGTTTTGTCTAAACCTAACACACAAACATTTGACAGATAAGTCCGTGAAATAGATACAACCAACTTAATATATTTGCCCTTATACATGGTCAATAACATAAGATTAAATACCTTTACAGCTGATAATATTGCTTCATATACGATACAATTTATAAAACAATTAACTTATACATTTAGAGAAATAATAAAGTGAAAATGACTTACCTTCAAAGAAACCAAACAAACTGTCTATGGTCAGCTCATTTATTGGAGATTTCTCGACAGTGAGGTACCCCCGGGGCTAGCCAGTATATATATACTCTAGACACCTTGAATGGTCACGAATTAACTGCATGTTC